TTTGGTTTGGTTTGTTATTATCTCACTTCCTTGTGGGCATGACAGCAGACATGTATCCTTACGTGGGACCTGAATAAGGTATCCAAACCATAAAGGGTAGCCTGGAGAAAGGAGGTATGGGGTGCATTTGGCCAGAAGCACCCTCACTCCAGGGCTCACTGGAAACTCTTCCCTTTCAATCTCTCTAAATGCAGAGTACAGCGCTCTTCCTCCGACAAATCGTACTGCACACGATGGGAGGGGAGCCTGAGAGAACAGCTACGGCTCAGGAACAAATGCACGATGGAATATTAATGCAGCATAAACTGACATATTGGGAAGCTGAGTGAAGTCTGGGATTAGGGAGGGTCATTAGTTTAACTGATTCACTCTCCAGGAACTGCTGTGTCAGGCACAGTAATCCGGAGGGGCGACACTGACCCACTTTTCACCTCCGATCCCCCTCAATAACCGGCGCTGCCGGAGAAACAGCGCGGCCACCCTTCCTACAGAACAATGGCGCCTCCTCACTCAACCTCCCAGCTGATGCACACGCGCCTAGGCCTGATGCACATTGCCCAGCAGGCCTGGTGCCAGCCATGCCACGCTCCCCACGTCTCCACTGAACACTGACAAATACACTGTCTGGCTCACCTGCGCGTTAGCAGTGTTAAAACAGGCTTTAGAATGAACAGAATGTGTTTCGCAATTAGACTTTATTGAACGCTTGTGAGCTGCTGCCTGCATTAATCTCACGTATAACATCTGTAGCCCACACTGTATGGTAAGATTTGAACATTTGCATCATCAGCCTTTGCAACTGTGTAAATCACCAGACAGGAGAGAGACAATAACCAGCGTGACGTGCTGGTCTCCAGCGGGTCTCATTGTCCTGCCTGACCAAGAAGGCCTATCAATGCCAGACGGACCAGAGTGGAACATTAAAAGGGACCAAAGACTGATGTTTACCTTTCCTCTTCCCCTGTGAAGATGAGACCTGCAAGTGAATTCCTCCATCAGCTGAGTTTGCAACTCGCAGCAGAAGGAGGGAAAGGACAAAAGCCCCTAACAAGGAGGAACTGGAGCAAGGATTACTAGACATAAGCAACAGCTCTCCCATGCTTAGCCTGGACTAGCCCTAAAGGACACACACAGCTTGCTTATTATGGACGCTTCTATTACTTTTTGAAGCTTAACATTGGAACGCGTTTGTGTGCATCTATGCTTACCTGCTTTAACCTCGTCAAGAACTCTCGTTTCCTTTTCTTACATAACAAATCGTTCAATAGTTTATTCTAGGATTGGCTCCAAGTGTTGTCTTTGGCGGGAGCTCTAAAGTGCAACAGACCTTGGGCAAGTGACTGGTCTTTGAGGCCTGGGAGCAACCGGAATATCATTGTGATACTTGGTAGAAGGGCCCGTCCATCATGAAGGGAGGTGGCGTCACAGAGCAGAGGACCCGAGGGGACGGCCTGTGACTCCATATTCAGGCTGTTATGGTGCCTGGGAAGTTTACGCTTGATCATTTGCTGGTGAAATCTAAGTACAGAGCTCCCAGGCAATGGAGGGTTTGTGCCCTGCCTTACCAGTTTGCCCTGAGGTTGGTGCTTATGATCTTGAGCGACAGCCTGGCAGAGCTCAGCTGGGATAGAATATTCTAGAACAGCATGCAACCTTCTTTCCTATGCCATGGAAAGCAGCAGAACTAAACGGTCTAGTATCCACCTGGCCCAAATGAGCAAAGTCCTCTTAGCCATTGGAACACCAAGACATGCAGCTACTGCCATCGCAGAACATCCATGTTATCCCCAAATGAGACCGTACTGGACAGGTGCCAGGAGCCCACGGCCCATAGGCAGGCAGTGGGTGGCTCGGGCTACAGAGCGCTCAGCCTCCCCTGTCTGTTTTCTGAGCCACCCTGCTGCCCAGCTCAGCAGGCAACGCGCATGTCCGCCAGGGCCAGGAAGGGAGTGGGGTGTAGCAGGGGGAGGGCCCCACCTGCACACAGACATGCCCGCCAAGTGCCACTGTGGCGGGCTCCTCCGAATCTGAGTGGCAAGAGGCCGGAGCAGGACCCAGGCCCACAGGTCAGGAGCGGACGCTGTGGGGTGAGCATGGGACGGGCTCAGCCCCCCAGCGAATATTTTCACCAGCAGCCTATGCTGAGGCCCACACCTAACTTCCATAAAAAGGGAGCACCGTCCTCTTCAAAACCAAAGGGCAGCCCAGTGTGACGAATGCCCCTCGCACAATGGGGCCTGGAAGCTTGGTTCTGGATGGCGCACTGCGGGTAGGACAGGCCAACTAGATACTACGACTGGCAGCCTATAAATGCTACAGACTACATTCAATTAGGCATCCCGGCATTGCTTGGTTCAAGATAAGGGCAGCCCTGGCCTGCACTGCAGAACACCCCAGGCTGGATCTCGCTACGCCTGCAGCTTACCCGGTGTGATACGTCAAGGGATGGTCAGCCAGGGAGACTGCTTGAGAATCAAAATGTTCCGATGCCTCTTTGTAAGAGGCCAGGCTGCCTTGCGGAATAGCCCTAAGGATACTAACACCTTCCACTGCTACAGCTGATGTGGGAGCTCCTGGATTTTGGCTCCTGACATTGATCCCCTGTAGCATCCGCACCTGCTTTGCGATGGCGCAACTTGAATAGACTGAAGGCAGCCTGTGCAAATGTGAGACTGTCATCACACTGTCGGACCAGGCAAGCGTGTCACCAACAGCTGGACAGATGTGGTCGCTCTCCCCAGAGCCTGGCTTCCCTCCCTCCCCACACCCGGAGCTCGCAAGATGAGTAATTGTTGCTGCCTTGGCTTGATCAAAGCTCAGGTTCAATCGTTCATTCAGCAGCAAGAAACCCTGAGAGGAACAGCTTGTGCAATGCCCCAGATAACACAGCTCGTTTCTGGGACCCGCCAGAAAGCTGGGAAACCCACCCCGCTCTAGACATTAGCAAGGGACAAGGAGGTGGAAGTGAACTGCCTTCCCGCCACGTTTTAGGAACGAAAGCCCTCTCCTCTCCGGTGCTGCGGAGACAGCAGTTCTGACAAAGCAGCAGACGGACCCAGGATGACACAGGACAAGCAGACAGGGCGGTACACTGCCGTATGCAACCTACCTCCTAGTGCCTGTTTGGTTAACGGTCCATACCAGCTCATTCACATGCCATTTCACTAGTGTCTTGTGCTCACGTAATGGACATGTACCAGTGACACTTTGCTCGGCAGGATTGTTAATTGTCCCATGCTCATGTTTGAACAAACGCACCGTCTTAAACACACCCTGCTGGACATCTGTTCGCTCTCACGTTGTGATACTGTCACAATGCTTTTAACAACAACAAATACTGAAAAAAATGTGAAGGGGAACTGAAGGCACATGGAATGCGGAGACTTTCCAGTCTAGGTCACTGGTTTGAACGGGCCCCAAGTGAAGACAATGCTGTCTGTTGTGGGGGCCATGTGAAATGAAGGAGTGACATCAGTCTCGCTTTTAGCGCTATGTGACAAAACCCCTTACTGCTCGCTGGGAACCTCTGCAAGGCGGCCCAAACTGATCCTATCTTGAGCTGATCCACCCAGTGCAAAAACAGTGCATGGGCGCGGGAGACGTTTGTACCTATTCCATGGGTAACGAGGAGACGACTCCAGGGCTATTAATCCAGCACCATCCACCCCAGGAATCCATTCATCTTAAATAACAACGTAGGCTGTTGGGTTCAGGAGCAAGCACTACAAGTGAAAGCCCCCAGCCCTTTTCTGCCTGGGGAGAACAGGCTGACGGCAGGAGCAGAGAACGGAGGTTCCAGTGTCCTTGAAAGCCGTTTACAATGAAGCTCTGGGGGAATGGCAGCCTTATACTAGAACTGTCCTTAGAACAGAAAGTTGGATGGGGGAGCTGTGCTGCAATTCTTTGTATTCCAAAAGAGAAAAGCAACGCATTGCAATCAGATGCTCGCTGCGGGTTCCAGAATCTCCTTGCCTAGCTGCTTCTTGGGCAAATGCTGCCACCGTGTGGCCTCTGGAGAGCTCTCCGCAACTTTGTAGGAGAGCGAATCATTTGGAACCAGCTCTCCATCTCCCAGGAGGAAGGGCTAAGAAGCACTTGGGAGAGCTATAGCAAACCTGCCCCGGATCCCCCACAGAGCCTAGAGCTGGAATACAGATAATACAGAGCATGAAATGAAAGCACGTCGCCTTCCTGTGCTGGAACAATGTCCACCAGTTAGCGTGGGCTGCCAAACAGCTCACCTAATCCCTGACGCAATGAATACACTGTGTCCACGCTTTTCTGAACTCCGACCCATGAATGAGTTATTAGGCACTGGCCCTTATCTCCAGGATAAACTCACTCGCCCAGCCCGTTCCCAAACAACAAGTGAGTCTTTGTCGTTACAACTCCAGGATGCAGACAGGATATTAAGGTTTCTTTTAAAATTAAATCGATAAAACTGCAGTTATTAAAGATGTGACTTTGGCAACTTGCAATCTGCAGAGCATCGAGCCGCATTCCTATTGAAGGGAGTTTGGAATCCGGATGAGCTCCCATTGATTAGCTGATACTCGTTGCATAGAAATGTCTCCATTGCACAACGCTCGATAGCCCCATCATTCCTAGCACAGACGGCACATCACTCCGGAGCGGGAAAGAGAGGCTCTGTTGGGTTTTAAGAATAACAAATAAGCACTAAATTAAACAAGATTGTTTCAACTTACAGAATGATCACAAGCAATCAAACACTGAACCGATCTAGGGCTTGATTCTTCCCTGCCCTGCATCCTGTGGAGTGATCTACACCAGTGCAAAGTGGTGTCAAGTGCTCCATCCACCCCTCCCCCCTCATCAGAAGGGGAGCAGAACGAGGAGCAATGGTCTCAAGTTGCAGTGGGTGAGGTCTAGGTTGGATATTAGGAAACACTATGTCACTAGGAGGGTGGTGAAGCACTGGAATGGGTTCCCTAGGGAGGTGGTGGAATCTCCTTCCTTGGAGGTTTTTAAGGCCCGGCTTGACAAAGCCCTGGCTGGGATGATTTAGTTGGGAACTGGTCCTGCTTTGAGCAGGGGGTTGGACTAGATACCTCCTGAGGTCCCTTCCAACCCTGATAGTCTATGATTCTATGATCTTACCCCTCACTTGCCAGTGTTGCCAATTCTTGTAATTTTATCATGAGTCTCATGATACTTGGGGTCTGTCTCAGATCCCCAGCCCCCAGTAGGGTGACCAGACAGCAAGTGTGAAAAATCGGGACAGGGGGTGGGGGGTAATAGGAGCCTATATAAGAAAAAGACCCCAAAATTGGGACTGTCCCTATAAAATCGGGACATCTGGTCACCCTAGCCCCCAGTCACATGAGAACTTTCACTTTCATGTTTTATGCCAAGGAAGAGAATCAGTTCCCTTGGGTCTAAAGCACAAGGTCCCGATTCTGCCAAGACCAAAGCACCTGCTTAGCTTTACTACTGTGCAGGGTCCCAAATGAAACCAGTGGAACTACTCCTGGTAACAAAGTTAAATACACATGGAGCACGGGGGCATCAATGTGTTCTTATGAGTTACCAAGTCTAAAAAACGATGGGTTCATTACACTGACATTTCTCTAGAACTGGTTTTGTTACAGTCAGACCCAGGACACATTTATGACTTGCCCAGAGGGTGCTGACTGCAGTTTACCAGGAATCACCAAGCAGAGCTCCTACAGACAGTCATACAAGTTCTGTCAAACTGAATGAAAAGGCTGCCGGAGCTTAGGGAAATGCTCACTGTTAGCTGGAATGCAATTCTTTTTCGAAGCCACCAGTAAAGTCTGCTTAGTGCCTTAGGCCCCAGCCCTGCAATGAGCTCCACACAGAGGATTCCCGAGCGATCCCAGTGCGGGGTCCAGCCACACACAGCGCAGAACTGCGGCTTTACCTTCTCTGTCTGAATTACTTGTCAGGTGCCACTACTGCCTACCAGTTATACCCATGCAAACCACCAAAACCATGACATGGGGTCAACAACATACACTGGCCACCTTACCCTTCAGGTGGAAAAACCATTCATTACACCGCTACACTTTCTGCCACTTGTACTGTATTCAAAGTAGTTGCTGTCTAGCTATTTTGATCTCCATGCCAGATGGTAAATTACATACAACTATTTACAGGAAAGAAACAACGCAACAGACACGAACAATCTGTTCTATGCCACTAGTTTTCATATGAATACAATTAAGAGGGGTTTCACCTTATGAAATGGAGAATCCGCAGTATTTGAGGGATGAGTATTTGAGCACTGGAATGGGTTACCGAGGGAGGTGGTGGAATCTCCTTCCTTAGAGGTTTTTAAAGCCCGGCTTGACAAAGCCCTGGCTGGGATGATTTAGTTGGGATTAGGTCCTGCTTTGAGCAGGGGGTTGGACTAGATACCTCCTGAGGTCCCTTCCCACCCTGATATTCTATGATTCTATGAAGCTGTTTTTTAATCAGGATGGATGAGTCCGCCTCCATGTTCCTGGAAAGTGACGTGGGGAAGAAATGATGGGGTGATTAGTTTTTGTTTTGTTTTGTTTTTCCAAATAGAAATTTTATTAAGCAGCGGCAGCTCTTCTCTGCTCAGTGCAGAGGGGGAACCATAGAAATCAGAGATAGCCGACGGTCCGTTAGCACCTTCCCTTAGAATTCTTTGTTGCCACTAACCTAGGGCGTGAGCAGCCTTTACTCTTACTGAAGCTGGAGGCATTCTGCACTTTGCAGACGACTAACAATGCTGGCAATGCTGTGCAAGGTCAGAGAGCCCTTGAATCCAAAACTAGCAACTCAACCAGCTGATTCAAGGGAGACTCCTCCTTAGTTGCTGGCACTTATTACTCTTGCCCTCTCCCAGACTGACCGTTCCACAGCCCTTCCAGTGGAGGTGTTGAAGTGGGGTCCCTTCTTCCCTTCCCTAGCAGATGTCTGGCTGGAAGTTAAAGGCAGTTGGGTTTCCACAAAACTGTAATCTTGCTGCTTTGTCTATAGAGGAATAAGGCAGGTCAGGCCGAGATGCTATTTGTCTCTGGGCTGTCCCTCAGTATTAGAATTCACTCATTTCAGCAGTAAATAAAATATTCATGCAAGTGCATTCTTCCCAAAGCAGTCGTGTGGCCAGTGTGCGCTATTACAGAGACGAGTGCGTGCTACTCACAAGTGAAATGGCCCCTTGCCAAGACGTCTATTTCTCGCCCTAATGGATGACACCTATAAGTAAAACACACATTGTCTAAATGACTCTATTTTCGGAGGAACTACGCTCTCGGGAATATTGAACATTCCCATGGCCCTCTTCAAAAAACACTCAAGAGAGAACCCAGTTTTCCAGTCCAACATTATCACTCTCAGTAAAACAGGCTCCCATAGAGAAGGAGGAGCCTGAGAGCATCCACTCGAATACCCAGGGCGCTATCGCTATTTAATGCATGAGGCTGGACTGAACCTCGTATCCACACTAGAGCCAAGGCTGCTCCCGTGTGATCCCGCAGGCTGAGTACAGGCCCGGTTTTAGGCACAGGGAGCTGCCTGCCTACATTCCCTTGGCTATTTCATAACATTTTGATGAAACATTATGACATATTGATGCCAAATCATCATCAGTGCTTTGTGTGATGAGATTCTGAGATCTCGACACTCTCTCTGAACCCCAGGGATGGTTCATGAGAAGATGCTGGCCCCCTATCCTCCAGAAAAACACGTATTCATCCCATCTGCCCCTGAAAAGTCAAAGATCCAGTGTGTGACTCTGTACATTGGGAGGAGAAGAGGTATCGGTCTCACAGAGGAGGAAGGGTGGGTAGGGAGAGAGGCACGTCCACAACTGGGGCATCTACTGGCAGAAGTTCAGGGAAGAGAGGATGGAGGTTTCCTTTTAAACAGGGACTGGGGAGGAGAATAGACTGCAACGTTCACCAGCCAGGACTCAATAAAGGAGACGTCAGATTACAGAGGGCAGGGGCCAAAGGAGACATAAGTTCCTGTTCTGCAGAACTTGGGATCAGCAGCAAGAAACCACGTAGCAGATCATTACAAAAATAGTCTGTCCACAGACTTCCTCCGAGGCCACAGCA